CAATACCACCACAGACAGCAGAGACCAACTGTGAATGGCGGTGGTTGAAACAATGGTGCTACTGGGCTGGGTCACTAACTCATCACCTCAAACACCTCGGTCATACACCCCAGTCCGTATGTTTTCTGAAGCCGCTCAACCAAACAAGTATACTTCGTACCAATTCAAAACCTAACAAACCCATTTCCCCCACCCCTTGGACGAGCGCTGTATTTAGGTACGTTGTCCTTTGAAACTTTCCAACTCCTCACCTCAAGGCTACTCTTGCTATGTAAGGTATTGGTTGGACACCGGTACACTTTAATTTCTGAGGCTGACACCTTTTTTTGCTGAAAGCTCAGAGGTCACCGGACAATTGCTACCTTTTGCTGCTCCGTTGCATGATGGGAGCGGATTGTTATGTGAAGGACCCATTTTTAATACCTCCCTCGCTTTCTTTTAGACTCTGTCCTCGGCTGTTGATGATCTGGATTCTGTGAATGTGGAGCTACTAAGAGCGGACACCGTGCAACACATTCACAATCTTGTGGTAAGTCTAACACTCTCTTGTGGTGTACTTTGTGTGGGGTGTTTGTTCGTTTTTTCCTCTAGGAGTGGTTTTGCCTAAATAAGCTGATGTCTGTGTGTAATGTGTATATAATTTTTTTTTTTTTCTTCTCCAGGGTCAGCTGACCAATTTGTGCACCAAAGCTTACAAAACCAGCCAATGACGTGATCCATGGCCAGATGTGATCAGAGGCCACGTGGATAATAGACTTGCTATGAATGTTTTTCTGAACTGGTTTTAGTGTCTTATTTATTTTAATGTTTGTGGATTAAATAAATTATGGGAACACTTGCTGGCTTTATTTTTCTTTGCAACCTTGTCCATGGTATCGTCACAGAACGGGTAACACTAATTCTTTTGTTGTAGCCTCAAGCTGAACAGGAGGCGGGATAAACCAAAAAAAAGCCTGAGGCTTCAAAATCTGCTTTCCAGTCAGGAATTATCCCCCTGCAGTCTCTTCTGTCATTCCTTCTGGAAGACTGAGGACAAGCAAAAGAATTGGCATCATGGTCCTGGGAAAGTGAATTATGTTCCGATATTGGGCATCCGAAAGAGTGACCCCTAACTCTTGTTCCCAGCGTGTCAAAAACGCTGGTTTCCTGGGCTCTGTCGGTATTGAAAGAGCAGCATAGATCTCCGACAGGCTATGCCTCGTCGGGTCCCTGGAATCGCATAACCTCTCAAATGACGTTCGTGCGGTCCCAAAACTCGCCGGTGGTAAGGTAAGTAAGAAGTGTCTCAACTGAAATGCTTTCCATCGATCCAAACCAAAGACTCCGTCAGGATCTGTTAGAGATGCCACAGAGGGCCATGCGCCTCCACTAATAAAATGGGAGGCTTGAAAGAGGTTGTTGGCGATCAAGGATCGGAAAGGGCCAGACAAAGTTCCCGGAGGAAAGGCAGGGTTACCCATAATTGGGTAGAGCGGGGATGCTTCACTAGTCAAGCGCCACCTGGTGAGTGCTTTCGCGCACACTGCAAGAGTAGCTCCAACCAAGGGGTGGGCTCTAAGCGAGGGGGAGAGGGTCGAGGGACAGCATGCCGCCCTAGCCAGGAGGCAGGGCGACAAGGATTCCTCCAGTGTCACCCATTGTTTTGTATGGGAATGTCTGCACCAGTCAACCAAGCGAACCAGATGGCTAGCTACATAGTATTTCCGCAGGTCAGGAAGGGCTATGCCCCCCGAGTCTTTAGGTAGAGTCAGGAGGGAGTGGCTTAACCGAGGGTGGCGATTAGCCCAGATAAATTTCGTCAATAAAGAGTTGATCTGGCGAAAGTACCTGTCGGGGATCGTGATAGGTAGGGCTTGAAAGAGATAAAGGAATTTGGGCAGGATAGTCATTTTGATGGCGTTGCATCGCCCAAACCAAGAAAAGAAGCCGCTCCGCCAGTTGGAAAGAAGCGTGCGTACCTGTGTCAAGAGAGGCGGGAAATTGTATGTAAAGGTATCGTTCATGTCTGGAGGTATGAACGTGCCCAGGTATTTCAACGCTCGGGTCGTCCATTGGAAGTGAAAGTTATTCTGTAGGGAGCGAGTCAGTGGAGTTGGAAGCGAGATTCCCATAGCCGTTGATTTGCCAAAGTTGATCTTCAAATTGGATAGCTCCCCATATGTCGCGAAGTCCTGCATAAGATTAGGTAAGGAGATTACTGGGTTGGTGAGAGAGAACATCAGGTCATCCGCGTAGGCAGATACTTTGTATTCCGCGGATCCCATTTTAAGCTCAGTCACATCGATATTAGATCTGATATGCCCGAGGAATGGCTCCAAAGACAGGGCGAAGAGGAGCGGTGAGAGGGGGCAGCCCTGTCTGGTTCCATTAGTGATTGGAAAGGGATCGGACAGGACGCCATTCACCTTAGCGCATGCTGTGGGGATGGAGTATATTGCCGAGACCCAGGACAACATGTGTGCTCCCAGACCAATATGTTTCAAAGTAGCAAACAGGAATTCCCAGGAGACCCGATCGAAGGCTTTTTCAGCGTCGGTAGAAAGAAAGAGACAAGGTGTTTTGGATGTCGCCGCGTGATGAACAAGATGACAAGTTTTGATGGTGTTATCACGAGCTTCCCTAGCTGGGATGAACCCAACTTGGTCATAGTGTATCAGGTCAGGCATATGAGGGCTCAATCTAGTCGCCAGAATCTTGGTGAATAGCTTCAGGTCGGTGTTGAGGAGGGATATAGGACGATAGCTGCTACAAGAGGAAGGGTCTTTGCCCTCTTTTGGGATTACTGAAATATGAGCGGACAGAGAATCTCTAGTGAACCTAGAAGTGGAGGATAGGGCATTGAAAGCCTTTGTAAAGCGGTTTGCCAGTTCCGCGATCAAGAGCTTGTAGTATTGGGTCGTGAAGCCGTCTGGGCCAGGCGATTTCCCGGTCTTGGAGGATTTAAGAGCGGCGGCAAGTTCTTCCGATGTTATGGGAGCCTCCAGTGCGTTGCTAATCTGCGCATCCAGAGAGGGCATAGCACTTGAGGATATGTAAGAGGAGATCCTATCCCGTAAAGCGCTCTGCGTTGTAGAATCTGGTGTGGGATGTAGGTTATATAATTTGGAGTAGTAATCTCGGAAGGCATTAGCTATAGCTTTCGGGAGGGATATTTTAGCTTGGTGAGATGTAACCACATGGGGTACGTAAGAAGCTGTTGTTGTTCTCCCAGTGCTCTTATCACTTATCACCAGATTCATAATATTTCCGTCTACAACGTGCAAGTGCCGCTTTTACCTTATAGGAGGTCAGTGAATACGTTTTTCAATTCATGGTATTCTAAATCAGAGTAGTGCTGCTGTCTTTTTTTTCTTGGTGCCATCCCAAGCCAATGAAGAGGAAGAAGACCCCTTAATGTCGAATAACAAAATAAGGCAAACATATCTAAGGGAAGGGAGTGTAGAACTGTAAGGTCTCATGTAGTTTGTGTGTGCTGGTTTTCCCCCTGTACAGTTAAGGCAACTCATTCAATGGGCTGCCAATGCACCAAAAATGGATGGGGGTGGATAAATGTTTTTTCCCCTCTCCCAATCTGATGCAGTGCAGCACCACATGTGCTACTACAGTGTTTCCCTGAAAATAAGAGTCATATTTATTTTTTTCAACGAAAAAAGACACTAGGTCTTTCGGGGGATGTCTTATTTTTACCTGGGCTGCAGCTGTCCGCTCTCTGCTCTGATGCCGTCCACCTCGACCCCACTGGCTGTGCCTGCTGGGAGATGTAGTCTTCAGCGGCAGTCGAGGCAGACAGACAGGTCTTATATTACAGAAATCCCTGAAGATAGCGCTAGGTCTTACTTTTGGGGAAACACGGTACTTTCATTATTGGATCACATATATATATATATATATATATCACACACACACACGCAATACAAGAATCAGGCTGAGGATGACCACACTGAATAGCTAAAAGGATACCCTGGGCTAGCATAGAGGTTTTCCTTTTTTTGGCCGGTGTCCATTCCTCCTGTAGGCGGCAGTTTAACGGAATAATGTAAGATTTCCTGTGTCCCTCAATGGATGAGAATTTAATTCAGTGCTGTATTAAGACCGAAGTTTAATCTGCTTACATTTGGTCTTCCCTGGCTCCTCCTTCCCCCATCATGTTAATGAAACCATAAATAAAGCTTGTTTCCAATACAGACCTTATTTTAGACCCGGTGATGTCATCACTGTTGCAGCATTCTTCTCTATGCAATGCCGGCAGATCACGGCTGGTTGCACTACACAGATTCCTGGAACCGTCTCAACCATACCATCTTGTGTTGATATGTATTGTGATTGTCATGTCTTCCTTATATTGTAAATCTCTGCGCAAACTGTTGGCGCTATATAAATCCTGTATACTAATAATCACAGCACCCCTCAGCCCTGATGGAAGCAGATGGGTGGGTGTCAGTGAGCCTCCCTAGTTAACACCCCCATGTGATGCGGAACCTCCATGATTGAAAGAACTGAAATTCAATGAATGAAAGGGGCCGGGGTAGTCATCCCTTGGGAGAAAAGAGCTACAAGATGCTGAACGTCCTCTGGCCAGGAAATGAGATGGGTCCGATCCGACTTGTTACAGCTTCTATTGCACACTAGGCATCCAACGCAGGCCGGAGTGGTCGCATGCTGAAGATTCCTCGGTGGCCATCGCTTTGGAAGGGAGCGAAGATAGGAGGCAGCTGGTTAGAGGAAAGTAGAAGAACTCTTCATATGTCATGAGCTGATGATTTGGACTGCTCAGGCAGCGGCCTCGGTCTCCAGCGATCCAACCCATCCCCATCCCTCTAATGTAAAGTGCTGCTCAGGGCGCTACAAGACAATTGATTGGAGTAGGGAGCAGGGGCGGCATATCAGGTCACTGGAGTCCGAGGATGCTGTTTGTATGTGAGAGCAGTGCTCCAACTCTCCAAGCTGCCAGCACCAGGTATATAATAACACGGGATGCACCGATATTGGTTTTTCATTACTCGCCCTTACCGAATACCGATACCGGAGGTGCCATTAAGGAAGGCAGGCGCCGTGTAATGGCTTCCTGTTTAGCCGGCTCCATGCTCCCTCATCACCAGGTGACAAAGCATGAAGCCAGCTTTCTGGCCAATCAGGAAACCAGGGGGCAGGTAATGACTCGCCGCCCGGCTTCCTGATTGGCCAGCTTCACTAGGTGAGGGAAACATGGAGCTGGCTTCCTGAATGGCTGATAGACATGCAAATTCATTTTTGGAAAAATTCGTTTTCCGGATGAATTTGTTACTCGGATGCATCCGAATGACAGAAACAACGAATGAAAAGGAAAATTTTGGACGAAATTCGATAGCGGCAGTCTGTAGGGATTTTCGTTCGTGGACAAATTTTCGCTGCCGCAATTTTTTTAGGTCACTGTTCGAACAAAACGAAAACTCCTACAGACTACCGCTAACTAATTTCGTCAGAATCCCGGAACTAATAGACTTTCGGACCCGAAATAACGGAAAATCCGAATCGAAACTAAATAAATTTTTTGCCAGTGCACACGTCTATTGGCCGGCTTCCCAACCAATCAGGGAGCCGGGCGGCAATCATTACACACCACTCTGCTTCTTGACTGGCCGGGAAGCTGGCTCCATGCTCCCTCGTCACCAAGAGCATGGAGTATGATTCCCGGCCAGGTCAGGGAGTGGTGTGTAATGACTCGCTGCCCAGTTTCCTGATACCGGAACTTCCGGTATCAGGAGCATTTGGACGGGTACAAGTACTTGGCATTGGTGCATCCCTAACAATAGTAATAAAGTACTAAAAGAGCAAAATATTAAAAGGAGAACTATGAGGGGGGGGGGGGGGGGAACCTCTCTATCCTGTCACGTCTATCTCCCGTGACAGGGGAGGGACTGGATTCCCCCCCCCTCCCTGCCAGCGCTGACTGGCGGAACGGACGGGGGGGAGGAGGCGGGTACAGCTGGCTCTGCCTCTAGATAGGCAAAGCCAGCTGTCAGTCACGCAGCTGGGCGGATCCAGACATAATTGTCGGGATCCGCTTCAGCATCTCAAGCAGTAGCTCGCGGTATATTGCGGCGTCTCAGTATACCGTGAGTTACTGAGCTTAGGGTGACGGGAGAACGCTAGTTTGTGTCCTCCCGTTACCCTAAGGAGAACTATGGGGAAAAGACTTAACTCCATAGTTCTCTTTAATGTATGTTTAGTTCACCTCTGTTACCGGTGGCCCGTTCCAAGACCCCCCCAAATCACATGTTCGCCTAGACCGTTATAAACATACACGTAACACACCAACCGTACATACTGTTTTATTAACCATTCACTTGAACAAAACAAAAAAAAAAGGAGAAAAAAAAATGTCAGAGAACGTCCAGGTAACGTTGTGATCGCCCCGGTCAGAACAAAATAAATCAACAAGCGTGTTATCGGTACTGGAAATACAGGGCGTGAAATTGTTTATTCTATATGTAGCAGCTCATATAAGTGCAGCCAGAAAATACACAGCTCCAGGAGGAAAAACAAAAAACACTTTTTTCTTTAACAAGTATGAAATTAAAACGTAAAATCTACACGAAGAGCGGGCGGCCCGCGGCGCCTGGCAGCTGCTGAGGAGCTCCGGAACACGGCAATGGCCCTGTCGAGATTCGGAGTTCCACAACCACAAAAAGGATTACTTCTCGCCTGATCCTAATCTACAGAGTGGTGAAAAAAGAAATCAAGACGTCGGCACGAGGAGCGGAAACTTCATCTCTTCTTCTTTTTTTTTACATTTGCTACAGAATGGTGGAAACTGCACGGAAGGTGTGTGGTTAGTATTAAATTATACACTTTGTTTTACATGTACAGCAACAGAGATGTCCATATCAGAACGATTGGGGAAAATTTGCGGCCGGGTTGGAGACAAAAAAAAAAAAACAGGCAGAAGAGAAAGAAAATTCGGAAGGTAATCCTTTTCTTTTTGTTGTTGTTGTGCAACTTAGAAAGGTTTACTGATGTGCGCACTGAACTCCCGGCCCGTGGTGGCTGCTTTCTTCATCTGAACTGTCGTTGTAGGCCTCGCGCCTCTGTCCGCTTCCCGTGCCGCGGGTGCTGTCAAACTCTTGGAGGTCTACTTCCTCTGCCTCGGCGGTGATCGTGGAGGATTCAGGTCTGGCGGGAAGGAGGTCTTCAAGTTCCTTTAGGGAAGGCGTAAAAATCGTTATTTCAGTGGCATCGCAAACCAGGACGGCGCAAACTCAGGTCAGCCCTGGGCCGGGTTCACACCTGGGCGATCCGTGACTGCGCAGTAATCGTGCGCTATACTGCGTGGGATTGGCCGTGCGGTCACGGAGTCACCCACCACCGACGATGCCATTATTTTCTAATAGCACCCCGATCACACAGATTCCACCCGTGAAACCAAAACAGCCGCGCGTCGTGTGCCGCAAAAAAAAAAAAAAAAAAGGTACATGTACTTTTTTTCTGAGGTTCAGGTTAAGCAACAAATGCCAGCACTGCACTGCAACCAACTACAACCTCTCACATGTTCCACCCGAAGGCTTATTCATAGAGGTTATTCATAGACGTATAAATAAGCCTGCGGGTGAAACATGAGAGGTTGTAGTTGGTTGGGGGTGTGCAGTGCTGGCATTTGTTGCTTTATACACTTTTATTCACTATTATACTGGATTTGCTGTGAATTTCAATAAAGTCTGCGGTATTGGATTTCTCTGGATAGTGCTGTCTGTTCGTATACTGCTACATTCCAAGGTGGAGACGCACCTATTGGACCAGCACCTGGGGAATCCTGATGGTGGCTAAGGAATTGGAGCGGTGAGACTTCCTGTGGCTCTACATTTTTTTCTGAGGTTGCCAGGCGGATGTAACCCCATTGAAATCAATGGGCCCACGCGGCAATCGCTGTGTACAATTGTGCACGATGAGCGTTCCCGGGACACGCGTCCCGGAACGCCCAGGTCTACACCAGCCCTTAAAGTGAACCGGCCCGTGGTCATTAGTGTCTTTAAACAATATTGAAGTATTTAATGGGTTTAAAAGGTAGCACTCAGTAAGCTCAGTAGCTGCAGGCACTGTGGAGCAAATCATCCCAAAAACTCACAGCAGAATGAAGTAATTCTCTCAGCAGCTCAGCTCTCTATGCTGCACCCTCCCAGCGCTGAGCTTCTATCCTCTGATGTGCACACAGCAAGCAATATGGGATGGGGGAGCTGAGCAGTACAAGAGGACATGAACTAGTACTCAGCCCATCTGAAACTAAATATCTTGGCCCAGAAAATCCTTTTCACCGCCCTGTTTGAATATGCACTTAGGTTTGCTATGGAAACCCGACTTCCTTAAGCCCAACCCACAACGCCAACACCGGCCCTTCCACTAGACCAGGGATAGGCAACCTCAGCACTCCAGTTGTCGTGGAAGGACATGATGCAGCCACTCAAGTGAGCACGCCGTTACCTTTTTATTTTGTTTCTGTGCTGGATAGCCTAAGACAGGGGTAGGCAACCTCAGCACTCTAGTTGTTGCGGAACTACAAGTCCTATGAGGCATTGCCAGATTCTGACAGCTACAGGCATGACTCCCAGAGGCAGAAGATGGAGATTTGTAGATTGGAGTGCCAATGTTGCCTACCATTGCACTAGACCAGTGGTGGCGAACCTTGGCACTCCAGCTGTGCCAAAACTACATATCCCAACATGCATCTGCCTCTGGGACTTATGTCTGTGGCTGTCAGAGCCTTGCAATGCCTCATGGGACTTGTAGTTCCAAAACAGCTGGAGTGCCAAGGTTCGCCATCGCTGCACTAGACCCTATTCACCGAATGCACCCTTAAAAAGTATTCTTATTAGATAGGGGGGTTGAGGAGAGGACGTTATGTCCCCATAGAAAACTGGGACAGTAAAAAGCTGAACAATACATCTCCCGTAGGATGTTATTCTGTCCACACTCGTATAGTTTTTGTTGCTAGTGTCAAGTAATCACTGTGTACAGGAGAAAAGCAGCTTTGCCCAGGCAGCTTGAGAAGGGACCGAGGAAGCAGCAATGTCACTTCCGGTTCGTGTTCATTGCCACTCTTTCAGACTACAATTCCCAACATTCAAATCGAATTGTAATAATCAACGGGCATGAAAACGCACCGGATTGTGGGCAGCGTTGCAGTTTCTGGCTATGATGCAAGACCCCCATTCACACTGAGTGTTTTGTGGCGCAATTTCCGCTCAAACAAGAAGTTCAATGTAGCGCTTCCAATGCATTTCAATGGAGATGTTCACATCTTGCAGCTCAATGTCCCCCGTAGCTTGTAGGTGAAGCTTGTCGCTGGAACATGAGCTATTTTTTGGCCGATTTGGCCCCAATAGACATTGATAGACTGCCAAAAGAAGCGCTACATAGCGTGACAAAATGTGCACTGTAGCTCAATGTCGCTCAGCTCAAATCAGCGCATTTTGTTGTGGCTCAGTGTGAATGGGGAAGGACTAATGGTGGGGTGACTAAGGCCTTGTTCACACCAAATGCAGAGCAGATCCGGTCAGGTTTCTGCACACGCAGTGCAGTGGGTTGTGCTGCGTTTTGGATGCGTTCCGGGCCATTTTTGGTAAATAAGATTAACATGGGCTTTCAGGCACTTGCATGCGTTTTTTGATGCGTTTTGGATGCGTTCCAGAGCAGGTAAAATAGGGCTTGCCGCAGTTTTTTCACCTGCTCTGGATCTGCACGCTGCGATGTGAACTGGAGCTAAAAATACCATAGGAATACATTGGACGCAGTTTTGATCCGGTCTGCACCTGCTCTGGTCTGGATCTGCTCCGCGCTTGGTGTGAGCAAGGTCTGAAGGGGTCTAATGTTGGGTGTGGTGGGACAGAGCAGGAATCTCCTGGTCTGTCAATCATGTTAGGCAGAGTGGGCGGGACAAACTCCACTATAGCAAGTGGCAACATAATGACATTAGAACCAAACCACATGGGAAAGTTACACGATTGGTGGCCCAGGGAAGCTGCTTCCATCATGTAACTTTCCCATGTCATTTGATTCTAATGTCATTATATTGCCGGAATGACGGAACGCGGCATTTCCGGGGCTCCGCGAAGCCAACTTCCTGTATGTAAGACCGCTCCGGACTTACAGGACGTTGGCTACACTGAGCCCCGGAAATGCTGCGTCCCATTGAAGACTGAGCCGTGGCTGATGCTTTCAGGGCAAAACAAAGACCGTGTCTGATAAAAGGAGGGAACGGACTTCTACAATGTCAGTGGAACAAGAACTGCCACAGGCCGTCTCACCAGAAATCAGACCATATTAATTCTCCTTTCCTGCGCTCAGTACATGAAAGGGAGAACATGCAATCATCCCCCCCCCCTCCAGGTATCGGAGTACAATGAGGGAGACTTACCGTTAGCTTCTCCGGGTTGATCCAGTTGCTTTCTGGGAACTGGACATCAAATTTAATGTACAGGTCTCCTTTCTCAAAGGGATTGCGATACTGCGGCATACCTTCTCCTCGGACGACACGCACGGAGCCTGGCCAAAGAAAAACGCGTAAGAATACCAGAGAGAGGAACACTTAATACAGCCGGACTAAAGAGCTGATCAGAAGAGGTCGGAGTGGCCCCACGTGCACTATTCTTTACCAGGTTCAATCACTTTTCCGGGAGGATACTTGACAACAATCTGACGGGCGTCAAGGTGCTTGAAAGTGAACTGGAATCCGCACAGCGCTTCGACCAGTCCGATCTTGTGCGTCATATGCAGGTCGTTTCCATCCCGCTGAAAGCTCTGTAAGGGAAAATATTATGTTAGATTAAAAAAGAAGGTTCTCAGAAGCCTCTGATTGAAGCAGCCATTTACCAATGAACAAGCTTAAACCAGCTCAGCTTTGCGGCCACTGAGCGCGTCAGAATCAGAATTGCAGCTTCAGTCACAGACGTCTGAGGCAGACATTTTGCTTTGTGGCCCTCGATTGCTTGATGGATTAGAGCTGCAGATATTTCTCGAATCACCTGTAAGCTTTTTACATCAATTGTAAAATCCTCTGGCAAGACCCCCCGACAAAGTCAGTTAAACTTTATTGCTATCACAAGGGGGTTGATAGTCCTGCATGGTGCAGGTGACAGGTTCTCTTTAAGGAGACATCAGGGCTCTGAATATAATAAATCAATCAATTCCCACATTCATGATAAGAGGAATCTTCCCTTCCGTCTATTGTATTTAGTAGGGATACAGGTTTTTCGGCATCGAGAACTGATTAACTTTTTCCGGTACTCGCCGATACCGAATACCGATGCCCCGATTATCAGGAAGAAGTCGGCGGTGGATCATGGACTCGTCACCTAGCTTCCTGATTGCCTGTGAAGCCAGTGCTCTAGCAAAAGAACACCAGCTTCACTAGACGAGGCTGCCTGGCTTCCTGACCAATCAGGAAGCCAGGAGGCAGGTCATAAACCACCACCCGGCTTCCTGATTGGAAAGGAAACCGGCTCCATGCTCCCTCGGGCACTGCCGGAAGTACCGGTATCGAAGGTAAGTATCAGAGCATTTGGGCGAGTACGAGTACTATGAGATACTAGTATCGGTAGTCAACAGGGTTCCCCCACTGCTCGAATTTTAGTTGATCCCTGCAGAAATCCAGGCTGTGTAGGGGCCAGCTTTTGGGTATCGTCACATAAAGCTGATCTGAAGGTTATAACTTAGTTCTTTAAACAGAGAAGAGGTACCCTTTATCTTCTCCATTACTCAGCCACTCAAATGCCTAGAATCCAGTGACACCTTTACATCACGGAGTCACCAAATGTTAAAGAATGGATAGGCCGGAGTTCTTTTCATGTTCTGCTTATATAAAGTCTGCCCTGATTGGTTAAAATGAGTCCGCCCGTTTACATACCTCGTTTTCTTTCTCTTGTAGCACCAGCACAATGTCTCCGGGTTCCACCCCTGGGGCTTGGTCCGCCTCTCCAGTGAATGTGATTCTCTGTCCGTGTTTCATGCCTTTGTCCACGTGAACCTCTAGGATTTTCACTTCTTTGATGACTTTTTTGCCTTCGCATTTTTTACAGCGATCTTTTTCATTAATTACTTCCCCTGAAGAAAAGAAAAAAACCATACAAGACATCAGCACATGGAGATGCTAAAAGCCTTTGATAAACCGTGCGATAGTAATCCTTAGTCACCTGCACTCCAAAACAGCGTTGTCACCTTCCAATATGGTGGTGCTCGTAGTGATGACACGGACGGCGCCGCAAGAAACTCCAATGAAGATCAGATAATCGCCAGCACACACACGTAATGGAATCATAGATCCTGTTTCAATCTATTGAATCACCATTTGTTATAAACAGCCAAGGTTTCGGGGCCACACAGGGTCCCTTCCACAGGGTTCCATAGTGACCAACATCTATTGTCACCCTGAGAAAGGGATCCTGTGTGGCCCCGAAGCCATTGGCTGTTTATAACAAATGGTGACGGTGATTCAATAGATTGAAACAGGAACTATGATTCCATTACATGTGTGTGCTGGTGATTATCTGATCTTCTTACTAACCGTGCACATCACTGACCTACTGATCACAGCCAACTTTCTGCAAGGATGCTGCACACACAGCTTGATATACAGAAGGCCGCTAGAGCAGTGGAGGTCACTTTACAAAATATAGGGGCTCTCCATTGTGGCCCCTAGCATCCCTAGCAGCAAGCACGTAATATTCAGTATACGTAAAAATACATGAAGATTTTCAGAGACTGGCGAGCAATTGCCAGAGATTGTCAGGGACTGGTGAGCTATTGTCAGAGATTGTCAGAGACTGGGGATGGACGTGTGTCAGGTGTGATTGGAGACTAGATAAGAAGCCGGAGACAAATAAAGGCTGCACAAGGACTATATATAGGGAGTAATCATGAAAACAAAGAAGAAAAAAATGGAATGTAACAGTTCTGGGACAATCCCTGGATACTGGGGCTTTGGAGAAGGCGGTTTTATAGGAATCCGCTTTATCCCACTCCACTCTGAAGAAATATGCTGGCAGCCATCACAAATATGGCACCTTTTTCTTTAAAGTGATATTAAAGCTTTCCTTTTTTTTTTAGATCTAGGTGGCCCACTTTAGAGGCAGGCCACGCCCCTCCTCTCCTCCGTCAAAAGTGATTGAGGGCAGAAGGAGCCTATGGCTCCTCAGCCCTCAGTATCCTCCCTCCTCAACCAGGAAGTTTGGGGAACGGAGGCGGTGGTGACACAGGTAAGTGTGGGAGGGACACACACAAAAAGGTACTTGTTGTTTTTTATATCTTAATGAAGAGAATGTATTAAGATTAAAAAAAAAACAACCAGCCTATGATACTACTTTAGCCCGCAGATATACAGATTCCAGGCTTACCTTCCCCACTGCAGTCAGAACAGACGGACTGCATCTGCTGCACCATCCCCGGAGCCAGCTGTCTGATCATTATACGCACGCCTCGGCCTCTGCAGGCTGTACATTTCTGAACTGCTCCGCTCTTCCCGCCTTGTCTAAAGGGAACAGAAATACAACACATCAGACGATGACAACACCTGTAAAGCAAAAGCTAACACAGATAGAAGGAAACTATTGAAGCAGGTTGTCATTTATTAGCGGCAGCGCCAACAATATACACAGCGCTTTACAGAACCATGGGCCTTGGATGAAGTTCCTCAAGAACTCAGAGAGAGAAGTGTGCACACTCACCCGTTACAGGAACTACACAGCACATTCTTGCTTAGCTGAAGTTTGGTTGTCTTTCCGTTGTACAAGTCTTCTAAAGATACTCTAGAAAAACAGAGAATATTTTAGTCAGTATTCGCTGCAGGTAATCATCACAAATGTGCTTTATAGGGATCCACCGATACCAATACTAGTATCAGTGCCGATACCGAGTATTTGGGCAAGTACTCTTACTCGCCCAAAAGCTCCCAAAACTTATCCCGATACCGGAAACATCCGGTATCAGGAAGCGGGCGGCGAGTCATTGCATGCCGCCCGGCTTCCTGATTGGCCAGGAAGCCGGCTCTATGGCCAATCAGGAAGCCGGCGGTGGGTTATGACCGCCCCCCCGGCTTCCTGATTGGCTGGGAAGCCGGCTCCATGCTCCCTCATCACCAGGTGACGAGGAAGCATGCAGCTGGGTTTCTGGCCGATCCTGATGTCCAGCGGCGAGTCATTACCCACCCTCCCGGCTTCCTGATTGGCCAGAAACCCAGCTGCATGCTTCCTCGTCACCTGGTGATGAGGGAGCATGGAGCCGGCTTCCCAGATAATCAGGACGCCAGGCGGCGAGTCATTGTTGTCCTAGATTGTTCACTGCTCCTGCCGTCTCCAAACTCTTCACCCTTTTGTGAATAACCCTGCTAGATTTTAGCTGCTCACCGACATTTTCATCTGGGGTATGCAGAGTTTCTGGGTTTCTAAGTGCTGTGGAAGATGGCTAAAAGGGAAATGTAGAAAAAAACGGGTGCCAGCATTTTAATCGGTTTATTCCCAGATCATTTTTTGTACAAGTCATTCTGAGTTGAGAAAGCTGGTCGGATGTCCAGTGAAACGTCTTCAAGAAAAATACAACAAGTCCAGTTGCCTTGACTTATTTTTTACAGCTATGCTATCGGTTTGGCAACTTTAATTTTACTGTCGGTGCAATTTAAATTTTAAAGCTCCTGCAGCATGAGCCTCAGTGTTGTGTCCTCATGACACATCCTTCCACTAAAAATAATGGAGACTCTAACTAAAAACACAAGGCAGATGCATAGGTCTTAGTACAAGGCTGGGAAACCTCGGCACTAGAAATGCCATCATCCCGCCGTCTCTGGGAGTCATGCCTGTGGCTGTCGGAGTCTTGCAATGCTTCATGGGACTTGTAGTTCCACAACAGCTGACCCGATGAACCCATCTTAGAATATCTAGCACAGAGACAACATATAGAGATAAAGGTGTGCTCACTTGAGTGGGTGCATCATGTCGTCCCCTCTCCTTCTGCCATTGCGACTTCGGTTCTGTCCACCCATAAACCCGAACAGGCCCCCGCCAAAGATATGCGAGAATATGTCATCCATGCCGCCACCTCCGCTCCCTTCCCGCAGGCCCTGCTCTCCATACCGGTCATACAGTTCCTTCTTCTCTGGGTTGGACAGGACTTCATAGGCGAAGCTGATCTCCTTAAACTGAAAAGGGAAGCAGGATTCCATCATGAGAGATTTTTACATAAATTAAGCAAATGCAGCCGAACAAAAACTAATCTTATTTACACTGTACTGTCAACAACAGAAACCAGTGACATCCAGAAACCAGAAGAAAGTGTGACTGGTGCATATTGAGGAAGGTACCAGAGAAATTAAATGTTTAGCAAAACCTGAGGAAGTACGTTTTGGAGAGAATGGGGAATAATTAAAGCTAAAGTGTCATCTACTTATATTCTGTAGTCTCCCCCCCCCCATAAAATGCTAATTTCCATTTTCACACACACACACACACACACCACTTATAGTAGACCCAGTGATGTCATCGGTAGTTCCCTGTACATTTCTATGCATGGCTGGTGGGAGGGGCCAGCAGGGTCCTGTAGTCCTCTGAAAACCCCTCAGCCCTGATGCAAGCAGTGGGATGCCTCTTGGGAGGAGTTATGCTAATATCAAAATGACTTGATGGGTGGGTGTCCATCAGGTTGGATTTGAACTTTAAAACATGCCATGATGGCATTAGGGAGATTTCCACTTCCTTTTCTGTGACCAGGATAGGAAGTGAAGAGAATCCCCCTAAACTGAGACCCAGACATCAATCAGAAACATATACCAAAAGCTCTTACACTTGCAGAGAGTTTAGTGTCCTATGGTCTGCTGCACCACAAGCACAAAAACAACCCAGTGTGGCCCCATGCATCATCCTGTGCGGAGTAATAAAGCAACTGCAATGTCACTGGGGTCCCATGACACCAAGAAGCCGTGCAGCACCATTTAGATACACAGGGGGAAATACAATTTGGAATTTAACAACTGTCCAGTGAGGGAAAACAAATGGAGCAACGGGAGAGCCAAACAAGAAGTATGTTCTGTAGGGTGCGTGTTAAGGGAATATGCTGCTTTGGGCAAAGAAGAAGCTAACTTTAAAAGGGCAATTCCACTTTCCAGGCGAATTTGGGAAAATTGAATTACTCCCTTCACTCTGGTCCCCTTGTACCCCACCCAGCCAGCTCTACTTACCTTTTAGCTGAACGCTCTGCCGGTGTACTACCCTTACTCTGTACACAGCACTGCACCCTTACCTTCGGTGTTTGGCAAAGAGTAGGGGGACCATACTGGAGGGAGTAATTCCTATTTTCCCAAATTCGCCTGGGAAAGTGGAATTACCCTTTAAGAAAATAATTCTATAACAGACAGATTAATTCCGACTGTGGAAAAGTGAAATCCTTCTAGCCAGGGTTAGGTAATGTTCCTCAGCCACCGTCATCCTCCAATTAGTCTGTATATTTGATTCCAAAGCACACAATGGGATTTCTTTAGCTGAAGCTGCTAATTGTGCTCCATTATTAATGAGATCATCAGACACCGGTCCATCTCTCTCCGGCTGACACGTTGTCAAGCTTCTCCCTTTCTATGAACAGTTTTGGTGTTAGCTGTAAGGTTGCGGCTTACCTTGTCTCCTGCATTTGGGTTCTTGTCTGGGTGATATTCCTTGGCTAGCTTGCGGTAAGCCTGGGGGTGAAGGAGAAAGAATCAGAGCATTAGCTTGTATCAAGGACTAGACCAGGTATCAAATTATTAGAATGATCATAACTGAATGAATGACAGGAAGGTGTTCTGTGATCATTTTGTATCGCCCTCGTCAGGTATATAAAAACACTGGTTACATCCCCCTGCAAAGTATAGAAGTTTATAATCACCTCCCCGGTGGCCCGTGTCTCCTAGCTCCCCCCTTTGTTCCAGCCTGCGTCAGCCATCTGGGATGGTCGGATGTCCATGCCTCCCACCACGTACCCAGGTTTCCATCCCCTGACCCCTAAGTCACTGCCGAGTTCAGGAGTGCAATCCGCGCCAAAAAGGCAACAGATGGCAGACGGATTACCTGGCCTACCCACAGTGTAGAACCAACACTGGAGCAATGGAGGTTCATTACCAATGAAGAGCTTGGCCTTGTCCAATGCATTCAACAGATGCGATGAGGAAACGTTTGTGATGAATGACAACTAAGTCACCATTTTTGGAAACTTGGAACAAAACCGGTTTAAAGTATTTATATAAAAAAAAAGAAAACAAGCTAAGCTCGGGGCAAACAGCTCGACAAATAGAAGTTGACTGTTGACTCTGTTGAGCAGGTCTTATGATCCACCACCCCTGTGTGACAGCACAGGCCACGGACCTTCCTTTTCTAGGCTGCACTAAGGCAGTACATCATGGTAACCACCCTGCCTACATATGCCAGAGGTGGATCATCTTTAACCCTTTCCCTGCCAAGGCTTTTTTCTTTTCCTTATTTTTTGCACACACGATGTAATCCACATTTGAGGCCTGAAAATGACTTCAAACCCCCAAAACATAAAATTTTCTGAAAGCCAACACCCTGTAGAATAAAATGGCGGCAGTTGCACATTTTTATATTGCACGATATTGGTGCAACTCTTAATTCAAACCCAAAAATTGCACTCAAGTTAATTTAAGTGCCCCAAAAACACAATAAAATATCAATTTGGTTGGAAAATCTAAAAGACGAGGTTACGACAAGTAAATAGACACCCAAGATGCCCAGGTTACAAATGGTATGTCCGTGAAACAGCGACAAAATTCAGTAGCCCAAAAAGTCCATAGACAACACTTTAAGCCCCCAGAGGTCATCAGTTTAGAGACTGAATGCTGCATCCATCGGCTTTGTGTTCTTAGATTGTCAGATAGTGCTAGTGGACATTTTAGTCCGTCCAGCCTATGCTGCTGGAAATTTGGGGCTGGTTGCCTTGGGAACTGCATTCCATCGGGATATGCAATGTATTACTAAATAAACCTGTGTACCAATCATTAGATTTTGCTGTCATGCACAGCATAGAACCGCACACACACAAATCACTGTATATCAAAGTGTCATTTATGTTCCTTATAAAATACAACTTTACTATTATTTTCCTTCTTTGTTGCATATCAGAACTGATCTTCTGCAACCTCTTTGCAGCCACTTCCTGTCTGCGTTTATGCACTCTAGTGACTTACTGTACTGCATTCCCAGGGCGGGTTACTCCATGGTGACAAGAGATTGTGCAGTGACTGTTGGCTCATAGAAGAATTGGAGACTAAGGACAGAGTGTTGTCACCCTATAACAGGAAGTGCCTAAAACAGAATTGTAAGGCAGGATCACCGGGTATTTTAAATTTAGAGAAGCACATTTTAAAATACTGAAATTGATTTTTACATCGGCATGTTACAGTGTAGGACATTTTAGTGATTGGGTTTACATCCACTTACAACAGACCACACACATTGCTTATAGGGCTTTACAGCAGCAATCCTGCCATACAATAATATCCCATAGCGGCAAGCCGTGCCCCTCAGATCCCATAGCGGCAAGCCGTGCCCCTCAGATCCCATAGCGGCAAGCCGTGCCCCTCAGATCCCATAGCGGCAAGCCGTGCCCCTCAGATTTCAGGCAGCCCCAGCAGTGCCGTTACCCTGGTAACGCTAATGTGAGCCATTGTTTTGGGACCCCCAAGTGTCAGCACGTGCTATTGTTATGAAAGCCTCAAAGCATCGGTGCCGCCAGTGTTCTGGGAGTTTAACGGCGACAAAATACAGCACCTCAAATTCTTAGATGGCGCTATAAAAGCCCGTACAGGTCATCTGTTTAGAGATATCCATGAATATTGTCCCTAGACTTATTGCTTTCACAGCCACATGTGTAGCACAATCGTCGTTTTCGGATGTAGGTGCACCCGATGCATATTTACAAAAATACGCACACACTCTTGGAGGCCCGGGGGGGGCGGGTTACACTTTAAAAAAACAGTTTTAGATATTTTTAAATTTTCTCTTTTTTTTTTGAACTTTACTTAATTGCTATCATATAAGGGGGCTTACAAGCCCTCTATGTGATATTATACTACTGGTGACAGGTTCTCTTTAAGGTTACAATAGGGGTCAATGAGACCCCTAGCGTCACCTTTCCACTCCAAATAAGCTATAAAAGCGCAGATCGCACTCCAATAGTTTATTGCCCGACTTCTGCAGCCGAACAATGACAGATGAGGGACCGGAAGTGATGCCATCAGCATCATTTCTGTTCCCATAGAGCTGGGAGATCAACAAACTGATGTTCGTCGATCTCCTTCCCGCCAACACCCCACATGATGGTCCCATGCCCGTAGGAGGGACAGCGGAGCCCTGGGGGTGTCGGGCGGTATGGGTCGGCGCAGCTCAGCCTCCAGAATCGCTTCCGGGGAAAAGCTGACAGTCGGCTTTACACATGCAAACAAAGTCCTGGTCTATTCAAAGGGTCCCGCTACCAGCGATGTAGGACATAAGTCAGTGGCAGCGAAAGGGTTAAAGTGAATGCTCACAGTACAGTAGATCGCATTAGGGGGTGAGTTGCATAGTGTGGCTGTAAAACGGCCGGCAGGTTGGAATTCGAATTGCTGGACAGCCGGAGTCACGTGTTATATGGCTGTTGAATGCTCATAGTAATTGGGGGTGAACTTCCCCTTTAAGTCATTTACACAATAGAATAGAAATGTGTTGGGCAATATCAACCTATTTGTGGTGTCATTTCTTAATCTGATGCTTCAACCAAGAACTCTGCATGACTACAGAGAATATTTATAGCTCATTATAATCTCTCCCTTATAATTATAGTTGTCCTATATCGTCACATCACACCCGACAATCAAACTGACAGCGCAGCGAGTCCGTCTTGTTACAAAAACACGACGACATCACCGACACAATATGACAGAAGCAGTAATTGTGTGCTGCGTTCGCTGTGTCCCCGCACAACATTGCCGTCTCCTAGCGCGCCGGTATATAATTAGGATATGAGAGATGCAGCTAAATCCCCTATAGCGCTCACGGCCAACGGTGACGTCATGGATTTTCCCCACTCTGCCGGCCTGTGACATCATTTTATTCCTGGGAGGACGGATCAATGCGGGAAATTCCTGGTAACAAACCGGGGACACAAACTCCGGGACCCGTACAAAATAAGGCAACGGTAGCCATACTCAAGAAGACGGGATCATACAACTCAACACGTGGCGACGGTGTCTGCAAAATAAAAAAGTCGTGGAATAGCTGTAATAAAGCAGGGGTGGGAACCTCGGCCCTTCAGCTGTTGTGGGACTACAAATCCCATGAGGCATTGCAAGAGCATGGCAGCCACAAGCTTGAATCCCGGAGGCAGGCGCATGATGGAATTTGTAGTTTCACCCCAGCTGGAGTGTGCAGATTCCCCACCTCTGCAGATAGAGTAGGAAAGGGTTTAAAACCCCCACCATTTTTTGCAGTCCGTGGCCCATTGGGAATATTTCCCTTTACTTCCTGTCCCAGAAATACAACAGGAAGCAAGAGGAAATCCACAGAGTTGTCACTGGAAAAGGAGTCTCCATTAGAAGATTTCCCCTCACCTCTTGTTCTGGTAATAACTGCAAAATTCTGAATGTCCCATCATTTTTATTTCCAATGACAATGGTCATCAGTAGGGATGAGTTCGGGTTCGGACCGAAGGCAATCTCATTTGAACACAGAAGGAAGCCAACAGTGCCGGCCCATCGGCTGCTGACATCATTGACCCTTTATCAGCTGCGGCCAGGAAATTCCCCATCCTGCAGCTTCATGTAAACTAAGGAGCATGATTGCTGGTGACATCACTGAACTTTTATCACCGCCGGCCCACTCCACTCCAGCCAGGGAATTCCAAGCCCCGCAGCTTTGCATAAGAAAAGGCGCATGATGCTGGTGACATCAATGACCCTTTATGGCTCATGGCCCACTCCACCCCTCAGTTACACATAAACAAAAGGGGTGCGATGCTGGCAACATTAATTACCCTTTATGGCTTACGGCCTACTCTGCTGTGGCAAGGACGTTCCACGCCCCCCAGTTACACATACACAAAGGGGTGTGATGCTGGTGACATCACTGACCTTATATGGCCGCTGGCCCACTCAGCTGTGGCCAGGGGATTCCCCGCCCTGCAGCTTCGCATGATGCTAGTGACATCTTTGTCCTTATATAGGCACATGAATATAGGCACATGACCACATTCAGCCAATGACAACTGAAACTGCGGGGTGGGGAATGCCCCAGCCGACTGGGCCAGCACAGTCTGCTTCCATCCTGGTTCAAATCAGACTGGGTCAATTCCAAACCCAAGGCCAGGCCTATCCAAAACTAGAAAAAAAATGTTTTAGGGCAAAAGTTTGGCCATCCCTGGTCTGCAGACAGATTTATGATGCCCACCGGCCTAGAGAATGTCGCACCACCGATTGAAGCAGCACGGCACATGTGGCCGCCTCTTCACCCAAAAGCGGTGCTTTGATCTCCTCTTCCACGACAACTCGTAGTGTCACCAAAACAGACACAACAAGTGCTTATAGAAGAGGCTGCTGAAATGGTCATTTT